TTCAAGTGTAAGTCACTTTTTTTTCTCTCATTTTTTTTAGAAGAGATTAGATAATTTTGGACTCTTTCTATAATTTATTCTTATTTTTTTTAGGAATTCTTTTTATAAGAAAAATAATTATTTTTTAAAAAAATAAAATTTGTGTTCAACCAAGCAAACTTGTCCAAAATTTTTTTATGAGTATAAACTTCTTATGCCAATCATTCGGGTGCTAAAGATTGAGTATAAACTCCCCGTGGGCCCGCACCGCCTGCCGCACCCACAGTCGCCGAAGTCGTCCGCCGCAGCCGCAGTCGCCCGCCGCAACAGCCCACGTGCGGTCGCACCTCTCCTCTCACAGGCGGCGAGCCGGCGAGCCCTCCACCTTCCCTTGCTCCTATAAATGGAGCTTTGGGGGACAAGAGCGAGGGAAGCGAAGGAGAGAAGAAGCGAGGTGAAGTGAGGAAGGAGCTCAAATCCGACCAAGTTCTTCTCCGGCGTGAAGTTCGGTCACCGATCTCCGTCGCCGGCCGGTCACCGTGCTCATTGCAGCACCTGCGGAGGAGGAAGAAGAGGAAGTTGATTGGTCAACCCTGGTCAACTTTGATTGACAGGGGTAATTTTGTAATTTTATTTTATTTGGCAAATTTTGGATTTTTTTTTCTAAGGAAGTCGTGATGGTGTTATTAAACCCTCCTACGGTTTAATTTTTTTATTTTGATTTTTCTTCTTATCGTGAACATAACTACGATGTTTATGTTATAATCCGAGCTGTGTTAAATCACTTATTTTTAGTTTATCCTTTATCATTCGATTTTTTTATCGATTTGATTTATATCTCATGACTATATAACTTATTAATCATTCCAACATATGATATTAAAACTTTCTTATCAAAGATTATTAGGTTGTTAGGCGAGCATGAGCATGAGATATGAGATTGAAAAATTAGATCAAAACGTTAAGTACTCTGGTATTGATGAAAGCTATTTTAATAAATTAAATTTGTGATAAAGGAAATTTAGAAGGAGGTTAGCTCTATAACAATGATAGATATAATTTACAATCAAAATTGATGTGGACACTTAGGAAGTGACGTGTGAAATTCCCAACTATTTTTGTTGTGGTAGGAAAATGTGTATCCACACTACATTATTAATGAATAAATTGAAACTTCATTTATAATAATTTAGCAAATGTGATTCCGATTGATTGATCAACAAAACCTCCCATGTTAATGAATCATTCAACTCTTACATCTTTATCCCAAGTTGAATTTTTCTTTCACGATTAAAATTTTCACATCTAAATCCCCAACAAATCATAAAACACCCAAGTCTTACATACTAATCAATCATGTCTAGTGTTTTATTTTTTAACCATGGAATACATCAGAGTCTCTAAGAGACAAATATGTGCCTTATTTATAGTGACTTACGCTTGAGCAAAATGTAAGACTTTCTCGACCACGTGATAGAAGCTTGGATGAGTGTTCGGACCTTATACACTCATTGATAACTTCTTTCCGATCTCACACCATATGGAAAGAGAATGTCGAAATGACCTTTCATGCTAATTCATCTCTTCCGACCATTAATCGCATCATGAGAAATATTCATATTTTCTGTCCAAATTTAATTTAAAAATATCTAAAATCTTACAAAAATAGAAAAATAAATGAAAATAATTTTACATATGTAATGAAGCATAATCAACATATAATATTGACATTAATGCTTGACGGTTCTAAGGACTTTATGTTTGGGTAATAGATAATGTTCTAGTGAAATTATTCATTAAAAAATACCTATCTACTTAAATAGAGATGGTTGTTCCATGTTTTTCCTATGAAAGGCTTTAGGTATGAACATCGAAGACTCATTGCTACGATCATTAATACTCCTCAAGTTACATGCCATTCTAACTCAAGAGTTAAGAGGTTCTTCGTTGGATATGCCTAGACACTTAGTTTCATGACTCATTTGATTGAAAAACTTTCAGAAAATCCTTTCAATAACTTATTTATTCAATAACTTTGGTAGACCAATCAAAATTGACGTCAACACTTGAAAAGTGGCACGTTTAATTCCCAACCACTCTTTGGTCCCAACCACTCTTTTCGTGGTGGATAAAAGTGTATCTGCAGTGCGTTGCAAGTTAATAATGAATACATTGGAACTCCATCTACATTAATTGAGCAATTGTGACTCCTCTTGACCCACAAAATTTCCAATGCTAATCTTTATCATGAGTTGATTGTTGTTTCAAAGCTCTTCACATCTAAAATCTCCAATATTCATCAAACACCCAACTCTCACATATTAATCAATCAACTCTCAATGACGTCAGAGTTTCCAAGAGACAGATATTTGTCTCATTCATATTAATTTTTGCCCGACCAACATGATAAGATGTAAGAGTTTGACTTGCGTCTCAGCCATTCGATGAGCATGGATGACTTTCCTCCGACCTCACACCACATGGAAGATAAAATGGAAATCAAGGTGTCATGATCTAGAAAGAGTCGTCTCTTTCAATATAACATTCCATTCATATCGTCATCAGAAATATCCATACTTTCCAACGCCAAAACTCTCCTTGAGTTGCAACACTAGTAAATTAACGCTCAATGGAACCCCTCAGAACTAAGTTTCCTAGACTTCTAATTGCATATTACCGACACTAAAGTTTGAGTATGCTTAGGATACGGAAGTTGACCAGAAGAAGGGGCACATTAGATTACTACGACTTGGGATACGGATTAAGCCACGGCCTCAGAGCTAGACACTACGAATTAAGTTAAACTAGTTAAGGTAAGTAGGTGACTTCTTATATATAAGAACACCGGCGGACGTAGTCAGGACACAGCCAGCTGACATAGAAGGAGGAGGAGAAGAATGGCAGCTAATACCTGCTGCAGGTCAATCTTGATCCCTTCTGTCATCTCTCTTGTGCTGCTGCTTCTGCTCGCTGCTACCGCTCCTGCCATCTCCTCATCAGAAGGAAGAACCCTTCTTGAGAGGCTCAACAAGCGTTCTATGAAGACAATACGGGTCTGTCACCTAATTCTTTACCGCTCCTTCTTCTTCATCGTCTTCTTCCTGAGCCTTGACCTAATTTTTGCTGGTCTCAGAGCCCAGATGGCGATCTCATAGACTGCGTTCCCTCGCATCTCCAACCAGCTTTTGATCACCCCATGCTGAAAGGATCAAAGCCTTTGGTGCGTAACTGTTCTATAACACGTCTTTAGATCACATCTTCACGTGTTGATAGTTCTGATCGAATGCTGCCAGGATCCACCGGCGAGACCCAGATGCCACACCGACGATGGTATGGCCGACGACGTCGTCCAGCTATGGACAACCTCCGGAGAGACGTGCCCGGAAGGAACGGTTCCGATCAGAAGAACTAAGGAAGAAGACATACTTCGCATAGAGAGGTTCGGCAGGAAGCCATTCGCGGGAGCATCGCAAAGGACCAACCTCAGTGACCACGAGGTTGACATCAATCCAACCGAACTAATTAATTATCTTAAACCCCTTATGTAATAGTATATATAACATAATCTTTACTCGAAATTATTGATGGCCCATTACTTCATGCAAGCCGGTCTGCGTCTTAACATAATTAAGAATGATGTTAGGCTGACAAATTTTCTTAAATGTACATTTTAATTAAGTGGTATGTCTGACTTGGTAATTCTTTTTACTCATAACTATTGACTAATTTGCATAGCTACTTCATACAAGCAAGAAAGCCTGGTTAACTACATGATCTCATAGGAAGAAAAATAAACCTCAACATTTATATTATATTATATTTTTTGCAACATGATGTGAGTGGTTTGACAACATCAACCCTACATGTGCTTGCAAATACTTATGATATATTACATGTTATCATCGAAATTATCTCTAGAAAAATATGTCATGCTTTTTATTCATGGGCTTAATTACAGCACTCGTACGGGTCTGTTAAGGGAGAACAATACTACGGTGCACAAGCATTGTTCAATGTTTGGGCTCCTCGAGTGGCCAACCGCGGTGAGTTCAGCTTATCGCAATTATGGATCATCTCAGGAAATTTTGGCACGGATCTGAACACTGTCGAAGCAGGGTGGCAGGTAATATTACGTACTACTTGATCAAGCCATGTATACATATAGTTCCATAAACCTAAAAAAAAGAATAATATTTTTTGGAATTCTCTTTGTCACGAAAACTATATCTCATTCATAATTTCATGCGATGTTTACAGCATGTGTTAGGAATATTAAGATGAATTTCTTTTATATTTGACATAAGCATCTTCGTCCGAAGGTTTTTCGACTTCCGAAAGTGATGAGTTTTCGATTTTAATTGTTTTGTTGCATGTTGAAAAAATAATAATTGTTTTTATTTATCGAGAATGAATATTTGCAAGGCCTGATGGTTCAGTAGGTTTTGTTAATCTCATGTGGATTGAACTTTCTCAATCTTCTTTGACCAAAAACATTAAAAGGATTCATGTTTTGTTGTCGCTTGGATCTTTCTCAGGTGTATCCTGAGCTGTATGGAGATATACTCCCGAGGTTCTTCGTTTATTGGACGGTGAGGCTTCCTTCTGAGATCTGACCTTAAACTCATATCATCTACATTTAGTTTCTCTAATAACTTAGACTATACGTTGAGAATCCTGCAGAACGATTCATATCAAAACACAGGCTGCTACAACCTCTACTGCTCGGGCTTCGTCCAGACCAGCAGCAGTGTCGCTGTAGGAGCAGTTATCACTACAACATCGACGTATAACGATACTAATCTGCAGCATGCGATCAGAATCACGGTGTGGAAGGTGAGTGATCTCCTCCTACAAACACCAATCTACCTCAGAACAATACAACGTGGCTGCTGGCTTGACATCTCATTCCCAGAACTGTGTTGAATCCTTGTGCTGTGACCTTTAGGATCAAAAGACTGGGAACTGGTGGCTGCAGCAGGGATCAACAGTTGTGGGATACTGGCCAAGGTTCTTGTTCAGCAACCTTGCAATCAGTGCAACCATCGTGGAATTTGGTGGGGAGATCATCAACACCCGTCCTTCCGGCTTCCACACCACAACCCAGATGGGCAGCGGACACTTCGCGGAAGAAGGCTTCGGCAGAGCTGCCTACATCAGCAGCATACGAGTCGCGGATCGGTACAATACACTGATCCCGGCGAGAAACCTCAGGTACAACGCCGAAGCTCCGAACTGTTACGACATAAAAGGCGGCGTCGACAATTCAGGGGAGGGCTACTTCTACTTTGGAGGTCCAGGAAGAAACGCTAGATGCCCATGAGCGACTAGAAGAGCTTCTCTCTCTAAGCCACTCGTCATCTTCGTGTGTGTGGATGCTGCTTGATAAGGTATATTTTGGGTCCGGGCCATGCCACGATCAAGCATAGGAAACCTCACTAACTTGGTTCATTTAGATTTATCAGTTAACTCCATTACCGGTCAGATACCGACGAGCATGGGGCACCTCACCAACCTTGAATACTTGGCTTTATCATGGAACAACATTGTCGAATGCAGTCCGGAGACTTTTTGTACTCTCATCCATATGAAGACAATGGGTGGTCTATGTAATTTGATCACATTAATTTTGCGCCATAATAACATGGGTGGAGAGTTAACGAGTCTGTTGGATGGTTTATCTACTTTCACAAGGAGCATCTTTATCAATTTTATGGCTGGAAGATAATAATTTTAGAGGGATTATTTCTTCAAGTATGGGACAATTGTCTCAATTATATTCTCTAGACCTCTCCTCAAATTCGCTGGAAGGCAACATCATCGAAGCTCACTTTTCTAATCTCAGAAACTTACATGACTTCAAAATTGCTTCCAACTTCTTGAATGTGATCTTACCAAATGATTGACTCCCCCTTGTAGTGTTTTCACTATTGATTTGAGCTTTTGTCGTATAGGAGCAAAATTTTCTAATTGGATTCGGACTCAACAATAATTGCAAAGTCTTTATCTATCCGGAGTTGGGTTCACAGGTAGCCTCCCTACTTGGTTTTTAGATTTCTCAAAAGGTTTGCAAGATCTCAACTTAAGCTCCAACTATTTGACGAGTTGATTACCTTCTGCTACCCAATTCATGTTGGATCTATCCAACAACTCATTTGTCGGACCTATTCCATTTAGCTTCGAGGAAGTTACAAGACTCACTTTGTTATCTTTATCTCATAATCATATAAATAGTGATTTTCCTCCCTTCTTTTGTAATATGAAATCACTTGAAGTCCTTGACTTATCTAACAATCACTTAATTGGAGATGTCCCGGATTGTCATAACTCACTCCCTGCTCTATAATCTTTGCATTTAAATAATAACATTCTTTCATTTTTGAAATACCTTAACAAATTAATTACCCTTGATTTAGGTGAAAATAAATTATTTGGTAAAATTCTGACATGGATAGGAAGAAACCACTCGTCATTGAAGGTTCTTCTTCTGAGGTCAAACTTATTATACGGTGTTATCCCTGAGAACATAGTGAAGCTGACTTCTCTTCAAGTTTTGGATCTTTCTTCCAATAATTTACTTGGTAGCCTACCATCATCTCTAGGAAATTTCAGTGCCATGGTTGAGGTACAAAATGATACGAGATCATTGCTCCAAGGTAACTATTCTTATAACGAGAGCATCTTAATCACAACAAACAGAATTTCTTATATCGAGAGCATCTTAATCACAACAAACAGAATTTCTTATATCGAGAGCATCTTAATCACAATAAAGCGAATAAAGGTTAATTACACAACCATTCTCGGGTTGGTGACATGTATAGACTTGTCAAATAATCATCTCTCTGTTGAAATCCCAAAAGAACTGACAAAGCTTCTCGGATTGCGCTTCCTGAACTTATCCAACAATCATTTGACGGGGAGGATTCCAGAAAAGATGGGTGACATGAAACTGCTTGAATCACTTGACTTATCGGTGAACAGTCTCACAGAGGAGATACCTTCGAGCTTTTCTTCTATGAATTTTCTGACTAGTTTGAATCTGTCTTATAACAACTTATCAAGAAAAATACCAACGAGTGGTCAATTGTCGACCTTTGACTCATGGACATATGTGGGTAACAAAGACCTCTGCGGTGCGCCACTGCCAACTTGCCCTGTTTGTCGAACTCCACCTGATGCCAGAGTTAAAGATGATGAGCAGCTTGAAAGGTTATTGGAGTACACCAGTATTGTGCTTGGATTTGTGATTGGCTTTTGGCTGTTTATTGGCACGCTCATCATGAAGCAGGCCATCAGATGCGCTTTTTTCCGATGGATCGACAAGGCCAACAACTGAATCTATTTTCAGTTTACAGTAAAGCTTGAGAAGCTCAAATCCAAATGGCAAACGATGACATGAACAGTGGGTAAGTGCTCGAGTGTGTCACCTCTTCTATTAGACCTTAATGTCATGTTGTCCTTCGTAGTTAGTCTCAACAAAATCTTGTGTTATTGGGTGAGTATTATTGGGTTTTATCTATAATATCATATTTTAAGATATATGTAAAAAGGTGTTTAAGAGTTTTTGAAGTCAGGTTCAAGTTGAATGAGATTTATTTTATTTTATTTATTTAATTTAATCAATTTATTTCCTTGAAAACTATTCATTATAAAATAACTATATGCTAAATGGAGATATGTACGTATTTTTACTATAGGTAGGTATGATCCTTGAAAACTCATTGGCTAATAAGCTCTTATCATAGGTTACTCCTCCTCAAGTTAAGTACCTCTTGTTAATATATTCTTGACTCAGTTTTTTAACTCGTTGACTGATAAGTTTTAAGAGTATTGTCCCTCGAGTTACATGCTATCTAACATATGCATTTATGGGATATTATCGAGTATATCTCTGATTTAATTTTCATGAAGATCATTTGATTGAGTCATTTTATCACAATACTAAACTTGTTAAAGAGGTTATCTCGAAAGAATTTAGTTCTATAACATTGATAAATGTAACAGATAATCAAAATTGATGTCCACACTTAGCAACTGGTATGTAAAAGTCCTAACTATGGTAGGAAAATGTATATCCACACTACATTATTAGTGAATAAATTAGAACTTCATTTATAATAATTGAGCAAACATGACTCCGATTGACTAGTCAACAAAATCTCCGATGTTAATGAATCATTCAACTCTTACATCTTTATCATGAGTTAATTTTTTTATTTCACGGTTAAACTCTTTACATCTAAATCTCCAACATTCTTCAAACACCCAAGTCTCACATATTAATCAATCAACCCTCACATCTTATATTTTGACCATGGTATGCATCGAAGTCTTCAAGAGATAGATATGTGTCTCAATCACGTTGACTTGCGCCCGAGCAACATGATAAGATGCGAGCTTTTGACTTACGTCTCAACCACATGATAGAAGCTTCAATGAGAACAGATGACTTCCCTCCACCTCACACCACATGGAAGATAAATGGAAATTTAGGTGTTGAAAGACATTCATCCATATCAAACCATTCATCACGTCATGAGAAATATCCATGTTTTCCAACGCCGAAAGTCTCCTTGACTTGCACGTCAAGGAAACACAAACATTTACATCCTTTTTTGTTTTGTATAAAATTATTTTTCGACAATTTATTCAGAAGAGTCGATCATAATTAGCATTTATCTTAGAGCATTCTTTTTCTCTGAATTTACTAAAGAGCTCTTTATTTTAGAGATTTATACATAGTTTTACGGTGTGAATCTATCCAAGTTCGATTTAAAAAACCAAAATCTATAAAATCATCTAAAAATAGAAAACCCAATGAAATTACGATTTCACGTTGTATTTATCTTCTATATTAAAATTGAGTTGAATAATCTTTATGTCATTATACTCATACATGTACCATGTTATATTCGATTACAGAATCAACATAGAAATATATCACTTAAGAAACTCCTAGAATCAACTTAAAAGAACGATGAAATCAACATGAA